TGGCTGGTTCCCCCCCACCACACACAACAGCCCGCCCACGCGCCTTCCCTTGGCTGCTTTGTGGAGATGCGAGAGGCTATGGAAGGAGCGATTGGGTGGCTGGACGGCTGGATGGATTGCTTCCACTCACTGAGGGAGCACACACACACACACACACACACAGAGAGAGAGGAGCTCATCTGGCTCTGTGTCCCCTGAGCTGTCACGTCTCTGCTTCACTGACAGCCACAGCCATGCCCACTCTGCCCACTCTGCCCAGCGGTCCCTGTTGATTTTCAGCGAGACACGCCACGGTGCACAAGCCGAAGTAGGCCGAACCAGAGTGTGTGTGATTTAGAATGCACCGGGCCCTTGATTGCTTTTCACAGGGCATTTTTTAATTAGGGGAGCCGTTGCTAGACGCTGACTCAGCAGCCTGTTGCCTTCCCTTAATAGAGGCGGATCACCACGAAGGACAGTCCGGCTCCGTAGCTGCCAGGGAGGACCGAGCAGATCTGACCGGATGTGCCGGCTGCTCCTGCCAGCAGATCCCACTTAGCGCCCACATTAACCGCACATTTCTCCACTCTCCGGCCTCCCGGCTGACAGCAGGGACAGTGTCAAAAAGCGGGGTTTAATCACCGAGGGGTTTGTGTGTGCTGGTTTATAGCCATGTGCAGGGTGAGCAGGATTCTGATGTCAAACCGTGCTTCGCAGTCATGGCGTGTAGACCTTCTTAATTAGCAGTTTATTTGAACGCTTTCATCTCCACTGTCGATGGTGAAACAGTGAAACAGTTGTGTCAACCGACAAAGCCTTTAACCAACTGCACACACAACATTACTGCTCATTATACAGTGTCATTTGTAAAATAGGAGTGTGCGTGCTATCATGAGGGTGACGAAAGATTTTCCCACACAATGTTCAATCACTGCTATTGTGGCATGTGATTAAGAAAGTGGGAGTTGTGTTGAGATTTGCACCTAAGGTGTTAAGATTGTTATGGTAGATATATTTGTTCCATTTCAAATGAAATCTTAACTTAACCTCCATCCGCCGTCCATGTAATTACTCAATAAAGGATAACTAGGCTTGATTTGTGGAAGATTATGGCCTATTTTTCCTAAAAATCTCTGCAAATACAGCTGTTTTCTGTTTAGAAAGTTGTTGTGAATGAATTTCGACTCATTTCAGCTCTCTTCCTGCAGACTGTGGTGAAGTCCACAGTTCTTGATAACAGCTGACCGTATGAGTAGAGGACTATAGCCCGGGGGGCCGGCATGTGGACTGCGAGTGTTGTGCGTTCTCAGGGGAAACAGCCAGGTACTGCAGCTGTCTCACTCTGTGTCCCGGTCTGTCTGTGCAGGTTCAGTTCAGATTACAGCCTCTATACTGCACTGACACCTGACAGAGCACTAAACAAGCTGAAAGCACTGTTCTTTCTCATGTATGTAGGAGGCAGAGGAGTCGTCCGGTGTGGGTCGGTGTGTGCGTCAGAGCTCCGCTATGCAGAAGGCATTTTTGAAAGTTTTTAATGTAACTGTTCAAACCCGACTGTTTGTCTTCCTTTGGGTGTTGCAGGCCGCCTGTCAAACGTGTTCAGGGAAAGGGTCTGCATTCATCAAACTACTGTAACGTGTATTGTGTTAACACGATTAATCCCTGAAGGAAAATACTCCCCCAGAGTTTTCAGCTTCTTAAATGTGAATATTTCTGTTGTATTTGTGACATTTTATGGTCCAAATAACGAAATGAATTGAGGAAACGATCAACAGATTAATGGGTAATAAAAATAATGATTCGTTACTGGCAGATTGGATTACAGTATGTTTGTGTTGGTGGCTTTGGCCCTGCTAGAATGAAGACGAAGGTCAAGTTGTCTCCATCTCCCTTCCATTCTCTGTCCTTGCACCGGTGGATCCGGCTCGAAGACCGCTCCTCATCGACGCGTTCATTAAAGACTTTCCTTTTTTTCCCCGGTCACGGTTAAATCCACACCGTCCTCCTGCAGCTGTGTAATTACACATTCTTCTGAGGATCAAAGTGTGAAAGAGCACCCCCGACGCCACCGCCACTGCCACCGCCACTGCCGCCGCCACCGCCGCCGCCCCGCTGAATTTAGCTTCACTAATCACTCCCCCCCCCCCGACGCTTCACCGTTCTCAAGTGGTGTCATGTTTGCTCACCAGAGAGGGGGAAAGAGGGAGAAGAAGGAGAGATATCACTTTAAGTGGTGGGGGGGCTTAATGGTGTAATTTGCAGGGAATTTACTCTTCTTACTGTCACGGTGATTCTCCTCAGCTGTTGACTGACTGACTCCCGACTCCTTTTGTTTTTTATTTCACGGGAAGAGTCGAGGACACGGAGGGGAATTACCAGGGATTGACAATAAGGGACTTCAGAAGAGCTTTCCCCCCCCCCCTCTTATTCCCCCTCTTTCCTCTCTATAGATTACTTCCCTTCTGAAGTGTCATACATTCCTCCCTGGCCTTTTCATCACCAGCCAGAAAAGAGAGGAAAAGTGTGTTTCCTCGGGTCTTGTGGGTTCTGGCTGAGGAAACAGAAACGAGTACGCCAGGTGTGCTTAAACACTGCCTGCAGAGGGGACGCTAATTAACACCCAGCCATTGTTGTGCTCTAATCCACTGATGGGAATTAATGCTTCTCCCCCGAAAATAACACTAATGCCTCTCATTTCATTAAGGTGCGCGTCTTAATGCCGATGATGTGATGTCACTGCAAAAAAAAAAAGAGCCAATTACCATCCTTCCCTCCTTTGCTGTTGCTGTCTCACACACACACACACACACACACACACACACACTCTCTCACACATAAACAGTGTCACTGAGAGGCAGAGGAATGCCGGCAGTCGTTCAGGTTGGACCAGTTTTTCCTGGCGAGGCGTCAGCCCCGACGCTTTCGGCTGGTTTCTACATCTCCATCCAACGCGTGCTGCCACGTAGTAAACATTTATAAATCCACCTTGTTGAACTGGAATGTTTCTACAGTAGCCCAGAAAGGCCAAACCAAACACTGGCTCTAGTTAGGGCCTTGGAAGATTCAGTTCAAAATTCTTTAAAAATCCATTTATTTTTATTTTTTATGGAGACTTCTAATCTGTCTTTTTACACACAGTATGTGTCTCAGATGAGTTTATCTTTACATAACTTTCAGCCACATCTCACAGTCCATCTGTTGATGAAGACCATGGCAGTATTTGAAGCCGCCTGCTGTACTAGCAGTACGTACTGATTTGTCCAAAATGCAGCATGTAGTATGCAAACAAAAGCAAAATCTCCAGTATGCGTCGGACCAGTCTGCCTCGCCGACTGTTTCCCACAATGCAAAGCACCTGAACAATCACAACAAACAGTCAGGCAGGCGAGATGCAGCTAAACACTCAAGTTACCATTTCCAAGGTCTGTAATCATCATCATCATCATCATCACAATCATCATCATCTCACTCGTACTGCAGTGTTGGAACAACTTGATGTTTTTTACAGTGACGGGATGCTCTGGAATCGCATTGCCCGCGCGTTTGCATATCGCACAATGCCGTGGCATTGAGCGAACGCCACAGTGTATGTCTGTGTGCTCGTTGTAGTTGCAGATTACTCGCTCCATCTCTCTCAGCTCCGGCGCTGCTATTATGGGCCCTTCTGAAGAAAGGGAGGTTCTGGCTTTATTCCTGTGATTGAAATCCCAGGCCCTCCCAACCATTTGTTTTAAGAGAATGGACTTGGCCCATTGTGAAAGGCAGACACCCTCTTTTTTTTTTTTTGCCCTGTAATTCACATTCAGATGCATTGGAGCAAGAAGGAGCCCATTCACAACGAGGGCTCGGTGATACAGCAGAAGCTGCTCGCTGGGTCTCAGCCAAACTCATTCCAGCCTCCGAGCCTTACAGCCTATAGCTGTTAATTTAGCCGGTAATGTAGTCTTGTGTTGCTCTTGACAGATTGCTTATTGGTATGGGCAGTTCCTAATGGGCCATTTTCTACTGCACACGTTGTTAGAAACGATAAGGCTCGTCAAAGATTTCTTATTTTTAGTTTGGAAATGACTTTTAATAGAAACTGCGGGGGGAAAAATAATAGCAGATATTTATTTAACAAGGCTAAATTTAGGAGGTTGGAATTAAAGTCTGTTTTGTTTTGTATTCATAATTTATCCTCAGCCTCCTCTTAAATTGTTCACCGATGCATTTTCTTTTGGAGAACTGCACAGCATGGCCACAATAGACTGTGTGTATACTGGGTCACAAAAAGGGGAAGATGCTATTGTTCCAGTACTTCTCTGTTTATTCTGATGTGTAAATAGCACACAGATTTCAGACTGAAGCTTAGTTTTAGTGTTGTCAGCGGCTGAAGCATCAGGCTCTGTGTAGTTCCTGCCCTGCGGGGAGTGTTCACTTTGACCTCTGTCTTCATGGCGACAGTGAAACCGGCCTGGAATGCGCCCACCACCACCACCACCACCGCCACCGCCGTTTCCCACAGACCAGCAAAACTGGAAAGGTTCCTGTCCTCCCTGACTTCAGGTTCACATTCTTCTGTACAAATTAACCCCGTGTACATCTGTTCCTACTGTAGATGCTAAACAAACAGTGGCTTAAGTCTTTAAACATAGGTCAACATAAAGGGAGAAAGGTCTGAGGATATATTACATTACATTTTAGCTGTTAGAGCAAATACCTATACATATTTACATGTGATATTTGCACCATAGCCCTATATTAAAGGGACAGATACCTCCAGTGTAAAAAGTATAGCAACATTTTTTGATACTTGACATTTGTATATGCTTTCACAACAACCCGATCCCGTCCCACCATTAAAATAATATAAATTCAAGAAAAACAGACGCCAAACGTCCCCAGAAAGAAGCTTTGCTATGAGGCCATTGTCAGTTAATGTACACACAACTTTTCTATATTTGGCCTGTCACCCCTCTGACAGCGTTTGCGAGCATTGTTCCATAAATGTAGCTATTGTATCTCATGAAGAAGTTTGTGTTTCTGTTTATGTCCCACAGTTTGCATGTGTCGGCACTGTGTGTGTGTGTGTGCGTCCACCGTTGCACTACAGTGACAGCTAATTAGCCCCTTCAGGACTTCGTGGCATTTTATGTTCATGGAGCCTTTTTGTTTTTTCATCGGCAATTAACAAAGACTTTCATAAATGTGTATGTTTTGGTGACATTAGGATTGCCCCACTTGTGGTGTTTGCTCTAATTAATTAGAGTGTGACCAGTTAAAGGTGGACATTTGAACCAGACTTAAACGCCAACACAGAAATCATTGGCTGTTGTAGCTATTCTCCTGTCCTTAATGAATTTATATAT